TCCTCTCCTCTGTGAAGCCCGAAGTCAAGTAAGGGGCTAATGATAACTATCACAAAGCCTGCCATTCAACTGTTTTCACATCCCTGTAGTTTAAATATTCTTCCTATTAAAAATGCACCGGCGTACTTGGTAAGGATCGAAGTTAATCAAGAACAGCGGTTTTCTTTGTGAGATACAGTAGGCTCATAAGCATCTCTGGGGTTAAATATTCCCTTATCAAACTAACTTTGTTTAGGAACCCCAACGCCTTTCGCCTCATTAGGAATGATGGCTAGCTCAGAGTTGTGACAGCTCAAACAATGCACTAAGTTATTTTTCTCACATAGAAATAAAATAAAAATATATAACATACGAATTGGAAGATGGAATGAAGTGTTTTTAAGTTCCAGCACCTAAAAGGGAGCGATTTGATTGTTGTGGAGGGGGGGGGGGGTTACATAAAACCATTTTTACAACTAAAATATTTTAGTTCTGAGGATTATATCCACTGGAATAGATTCTCTTGACATGCAGTACGTATCCTTGATTTCGGTGTATATACATATGATATCAAATTATTTGTTACTTTGGCTGGCTTAATATTCGCAGACTAGACGATTTAATACTTCCAGGCGCAAGTGAAATATGAAACTAAACTCGCGTCCCCTCCCACCTATTGCTTAATGTAATAATGAAAAATTATTAACCTTCCTTTTGACTAAATAAATACTGTTTTTCTGTTTGTATTCTTCTATCATTGAAAGCAATGTCTATTCCTCAAAAGCTCATTCTAATTGATGTTAAGAGCGATACAAGGTACACCATTCAAAATGAATGCAATAAGTTGGTCCTTTAACTACGGGAACGCCTGTTTTTACTCATATAGCAACTATTTTTTTATTAATGTAGAAAATGTCAAGCTGTTGTGATTAATCTTTCAATTTAATCAACTCATTTAACATTATTAGCCAATTAGCACCCAAAAATTTTTAACTTTAAACCGGAACGCACTTCCATATTTAGCTTAGAGTTCTAGGCATGAAGTGGATACGACAGCCCAAAAAAGCTCGTTCGCTTTACTGACGACAAAATAATGAAATTGTCCACAAGTAGATGAAACAAAGCTCAAACATGTGGACTTCATAAATTATTGAAGCATTCAATCCACCGACTTATCATGGATGCAAGAAATCACTTTGAGGTAACTAAAGGATAATCATGCATCAAGTTAGTGTGCCCCTCTATACTTTAAGCCATTCATTTTTGACTATGACTTCAACGGAAATATACTTGAACTACACTTGTGTCAACACAGGAACCTGCATCATCAATGGTGCATCATATATTGCATCTTCTAATTCCGTAATTCCCTTTTGGATTCATATTTGACATGGGCTAGAAGAATTTCCAATCATTTGTCCCCATCGATTGATCCCAGTGGTCTTGAGTATACAACCATTTAGTCTATAAGATAAGTTACTTAGATGATGTTCTATGAACAGCCCTTGTCAAAGTGTAAACTAATAGAAAATCAAATTAGTCACCCAGCACAGAAGCCTTAAAGCCATTTTCTACAATGGAGACTCATAAGAAGATAGCATTGCCTGATCCATGTCAATCCGTTGCAATTTTACCCAAAACGCAGAACAAACTCCACTTCAACAGAGACTGTCGCCAACAATTAGTGAAAATTTTCACAAACTCCATCACCGTCTACTATACTGCTAACCACCAAATATAAAGGGCGACCCTCTAGCTAACAGAAAACGCCATTTGAGAGGAAACTCAACACTTGCAAACTGCCTACATTCATCCAAAATTTAAGGTTCAACACGGAGTCGAAGGTGAAAGAAGAGGCACAACCATCTCAATCCGCTAATCAAACAGTCGATTCGACGACACCAATTGATAACAACTATTTACTGTGACCACTCATTTTATGCATCCCACTTTTGTCTTCTTGATGCAAGCTAACTGGCTAACTCCCACTCTACCCGCCCTAAACCTTTCCTTGTATCTAACACCCTTGGTCCATCCTCGAAAGACACTGCGCACCCTCAACTCATACGGATACTGTTTATCTTACCGTCTCAAAATCCCGCATATCTCAAATCAAAGCACCTCACACTCGTTGTGGTCTGAGGATTGCCTTGTCATCTCGATTGGAGCATGGATACAGCAACTAATTGCCGAGTCTTTTTTTATCTCCAACTTTAGCATCCTGAAGACGACTGTCATGGAACAAAGAAGTCTCAATTTTACTCAGACAAACTCGAAGTGCTGGCGCGCCATATGGAACGCGTGTGGTTTTGAGCTCTTCAACCGACACTTATTAATAATCCCTACATAGTTTGGCGAACCCTTAATTGCGTATTTTAATCACTAAGACCTATGACCGACTTACAAAAAATGAATGTGTACCACATTGTGACCGTTTTGTATATTTTGTTTGAGTTAATTTTGCTATGGCGATTAATGAGCAGGAGTCAAGGCATGTTGGTGTAGCAAATCGCTACAACTTACTTCGTTTAATATTTAGTAACACCCTTGGTCCATCCTCGAAAGACACTGCGCACCCTCAACTCATACGGATACTGTTTATCTTACCGTCTCAAAATCCCGCATATCTCAAA